TCATCTCCAGGTCGTTTTTGGGCGCCCCTTTTTTTCTCTTTCCCTCTGGTGTCTACGTGTATATTAGGATTCATTCTCATAAAGTGGCCAAGCCATTTCCATCTTCTCTTGGAAGGTATTTTTACTGCCAATTAAACCGTAGTGATTATTTCCTGTGTTTTTCACTCATTTCTGCCTTCAGAATAAAGTTTTTTTAATCTAAACTTGCACATCTGCTTCGGCTCTCTTGAACTTCTTTCCATTAGGTTTAAATAGTGGACTGTTTTCAATGAGGTTTAAATAGTGGACTGTTTTCCATGAGGTTTAAATAGTGGACTGTTTTCCATTAGGTTTAAATAGTGGACTGTTTTCTATTAGGTTTAAATAGTGGACTGTTTTCCATTAGGTTTAAATAGTGGACTGTTTTCAATTAGGTTTAAATAGTGGACTGTTTTCCATTAGGTTTAAACAGTGGACTGTTTTCCATTAGGTTTAAATAGTGGACTGTTTTCCATTAGGTTTAAATACTTCAATGGTTTAACATTTAACTAACTAATTCTACAACTTATAGCTGGTAGTCTTTAAATTATCAGCTTCTTCTTCTTCATGCATGTTTGTATGTATGTGTGTATGTATGCCTGTATGTATGTAATGTATGCATGCATGTATGTGTGTGTAAGTGAGTGGGTGAGTGTGTGTATGTGGGTGTATGTATGTATATGGGTGTGTGTATGAACGCGCGGGTTTTTGCATGCACTTTACAACTCATGCTTTTGTGTTCTTTTATAATATCATCATATGATCATAACATGCTTTATTAGTAAAATACAACAACTGCTGTGTGAAAGATGGTTGACTGAAGGGGCCGAATGTAAAACTGGCCTGCGTGCCCAATCTGTGACCCTTTAAAAATAAAGTTTGTTCGTTCATGTTCACCTGCTGTAAACTTTATCAGAAAGTTCTTTCTGTTCATCCACTTATGAAAGTATTGTCTTGTTTTAGAACATGAGCTTTGCATGCACATCCATTTTGCAGAACTGGATTATCTGTATGCAGAATGTTTCTTTGCATCTCAGCCAGATGCATTCTAACCTCTAAGGAAACACTCTAATTAGTCCCACAATAAAGGTAAAAAGTACATTTAAAGTCGGGAGATGGGAACCAGCGTCATTGCACACGGTTACAAACCATAACTGCTCTGCCACCAGTACACAATGGGGTCTCTGAACCCACAAGGCAGGAAAACAAATACAATGCTGAAAGTTTACCTGAGAGAAGAGGGGGCATAAAATTAATGACTGCACAGGGGTATCATACATTCTAAATACATGCCTGCATAGATGGCTGGGGGGAGGGGAGGGGGGGGGGGGGGGGGGGGGGGGAGATCAAATTCCCTGGAACTGGGAAAAGTGTCAACTGGTTCACTCCCAAGTAACATGTATGGTCAAATCTGTGAATCCCAGGCAACATCACATGACTTCTTGCATATATTTTTTTAGTTGGTGTTGCATGCTGATTTGGGAGGGTGTGTGGAGGGACAGAGTGGTATGATAGCACTTTCAGTGAGTTCACAGGCAATTAATGTCAACATTGGCCAGAGTACTAAGGGGGAAAGAGTGTTGACCATGAAAATGTATTATCATGAACGAGGCGTGCACGCACGAGAAAGTAGACGCGTGGGTTTACTGTATGGGGGTTGACAAGCATGGATAACGAGACCCACAGAGAAGGGGTGTATTGCGTGACAGTGTGATTCTAATGTAACATCAGCCACTCACATGAGTGTGATCCTCAAGAACGCTCCCTTGAGCGTGAGTCTCGAGAACACCCACATGAGCATGTTTCCCGAGAACACCCACACGAGCGTGCCTCTCGTGTAACCTACGAGTTCGACAGGGATAAATTGGGGCTGCGTAGACAGTCCGAGTCAGTGAGCTGTAGCCATAGAGCTAGAGCACTGGAGAAGAGCGGTTGTAGTACACACCCAGCACGAGAGTGCTGCGAGTCAGTCAGTCCGACAGTCAAAGCAAGAGAGAGCCAGAGAGAGAGACCAAGTCAGGGTCAGTGATTATCTCTCTCGAGTATAACAGACAAGAGTACCGTACAACTATCAGGCATTAAGGTCTGAGTAAGGGTTGAGGTTGCTGTACTGGTCAAAGGTATAGTCCCGCTGGCGAAGTAAGTCCAAGGGGATGGGATGCTCCAATAGTACCTGTTCTGGGTGGCGATGCAAGGAGACGTAGGGTCACCATGGAAACAGAACAGGAAAGGGGGGGGGGGGGATGCCGACAAGAGCTGTGTGCTAGAGGGGACTTGTGTTAGAAGTCCTGTCGGTCATCGGAGTTTTTCGACAGGCTGACGTGCTGTGTGCTTTTGGAGAACGGCAAGGGAAGTCATTCTCCGGTCAGCGGAGGTTGTCTGCTGAAATAATATCAAGGTCCAGTGGATGGGAGAATTCGTCCTGTTCAGCTGTACGGCGTGCCCAGAGTTGTGGGATGCTGTAGGCCTTTGGAGCTGTAGTGGTCAGGGAGAGGTCACTACAAGTTGAGAGAGAGCAAGTGAGGAATAAATGGACTAGGTGCGAATGTCAACTGTGATCAATGTCTACGTCTCTGCAGTTTTGTTGATGTGAGGGCTTGTGTATACCCTCTTGTGTTCTGTCAATTAAATATGCTATGTGACGGAACTATTGTCGTCGAGTCCTGCTTCAAGAGTGAGGGAGCGAAAGTTACATCTTTAAACACTTGGTAGTGTGCTGACTAGTGTGTAACGCAGATAGCGCACAACAGTTGGTCAGAGAATACTAAAGAAATCTGGTATTCCTAGTATTCAGCTTTTGTGACAGTAATACAGCTGAAATCTCTATAGTAGTTGGTAGCTCATGGGTATCTCTCGTAAAATCGTCTGGTACTGAAAGAGCTTAAAACTCTTGAGACCTTATCTTGTAAAAACCCACGGCATGAGGTTTTCACATTCTGTCTACTCAAGTCTAAACCACTTCTCTCCTCTCCAAATACTATCACTCCTCGCCTCTCCAACTACTACCACTCCTCACCTCTCCAACTACTACCACTCCTCTCCTATCCAACTACTACCACTCCTCACTTCTCCAACTACTACCACCCCTCACTTCTCCAACTACTGCCACTCCTCACCTCTCCAACTACTACCACTCCTCTTCTCTCCAACCACTACCACTCCTCACATCTCCAACTACTACCACTCCTCACCTCTCCAACTAATACCACTCCTTGTCTCCCCGACTACTACCACTCCTTGTCTCCCCGACTACTACCACTCCTCACCTCTCCAACTACTACCCCTCCTCACCTCTCCAACTACTACCACTCCTCACCTCTCCAACTACTACCACTCCTCACCTCTCCAACTACTACCACCCCTCACCTCTCCAACTACTACCACCCCTCACCTCTCCAACTACTACCACCCCTCACCTCTCCAACTACTACCACTCCTCACCTCTCCAAATACTACCACCCCTCACCTCTCCAACTACTACCACCCCTCACCTCTCCAACTACTACCACCCCTCACCTCTCCAACTACTACCACTCCTCACCTCTCCAACTACTACCACTCCTCACCTCTCCAACTACTACCACTCCTCACCTCTCCAACTACTACCACTCCTCACCTCTCCAACTACTACCACCCCTCACCGCTCCAACTACTACCACTCCTCACCTCTCCAAATACTACCACCCCTCACCTCTCCAACTACTACCAATCACATCCCCCATGCCACAATGCTGACATGCCTTGCCTTCATTATTTATGAGTGGCAACTAATGTGTTACAATGACAGCTTTGAACCACAAGTTAATGCATAACAGCCTTTGTTGTTCTCCATCAAAAATTGCTGGTTCAGCTGTTTATGTATAAGTAACTGTAATTAATTGATCAATCAATTCATGTTAACTTGCTTCACAAAGCACAGCCCTGAATGATCATGAGCCAAAGCTTCACTTTTCTAAAGCAGTGTTAGCATACTAGAAGGACTGGACTAACCTGATTAACTTAGGAGGACATGACTCTGTGCTTGGCTAGCTGCACAAATATTGGTTACATTAGGTCCTAATTGAAGAGCTTTTTTAGAAAAATAGGACTAGTTACACAATGTACATTAATTGTTGTTTGTGAATCCCTTAAAAGAGTAAGCCTTTCTTCATTTTCATTTGAACACTCTTTCATTAGAAAAGTGACTAATACTCTTCTTCTTCTTTTTCTTCACGTTCTCTGAATGTAAACTCTGGCGGGAAAGTTTCGGTTGTTCGTCCACTTCCGAAGTCTAGTTCCAGAACCCGAGTGTTGAATACACATCCGTTTTACAGATCTGGCATAAGTGGTACAACCTGTTGGTTCCTTGCCTCCTATCCGAGGCAGATTCACTCTGACTTTGAAGAATGCCTCCCGTTAGTTGACTCCTACGACTTGCCTGTTGGAGAGGCAGTGGACCTACTCTTGTTTTCCCTACAACAGGGCCCCGGAATCAACACGGAGAACACTATTACTGGCAGTATCTTATATGTCAAAAATAACATTGGACTGTTGAAATAGGGCCAGGGCTACTCACTAAGTTTACTCAGAGGCCAAAATGTTAAAAATGGGGTTCCTCATAGGTCACAGGCCCAAGCCCCAGCGCAGAAAGATCATTATATAATACAATTGGAAATTACCCGCAGGCTTGAGGTCAGCATTGGTTTGTGGGTTGAAAGCTGAATGGCCTTAAGGTGGGCACTAGTTCTATGGCTCATTCAGAAAGATGGTGCCTGAATCAGTTACCTATACATATGACACAAATGGTGTTATAAAGACAGCATAAATGATTTCATAGACAGCACACACTGTGTTAAAGACAGCACAAATGGTGTTATACAGGCATCACAGATGAAGTTAGACAGCATATATGGTGTTATACAGACAGCACACATGGTGTTATAACAGATAATAAGGAAACAACATTTAACAAAAACAATAAGGAGCTTCTGGTTAAGCCCTACCTGTCCTTTGTCTTTCTCCACTTTCTTAAAGCATTTGTTCAAGCTGAGGTTGTGCCGCACTGAGTTTTTCCACCCTGTCGGGGCGTTCTGGAAGTAAGGAAACTGTGTTAAGATCCAGTTGTAGATGTCCTTCACTGGCAACCGCTTCTCTGGTGATGCTTCAACTGCCATAAAAATGAGACACGAGAATGAGTATGGCGGTTTGCTGTTGATGTGCTTCTGCGGGAGGTATGACAGATTGGCAGGCTGTTGTCCTGAAGCACCTTGCAACAGATGAATATCCGGCTTTATGTCCTCGTTCTCCTTCTGTTCTTCGCTGTCATCCTCTTTGTCCAACTTCTCCCCACCAATGTTTTTGAGCAGATCTTCATTCTGAAGCCACTCTAAAGACCTGAGGTCATCGTCAAAATCATCACTGTCCCGGCGATCCATGCGTAAAGAAGCAAAGCAGCTGTTTGATAAGTGATCACCATACAAGCTATCATCGTCGTCCTCGGAGTTGTCGCCGGCATTCAGGATGATGTCTTCCCCTCCATGAAGAGCCTTGTACAGCTGGCTATGTGGGAAGCTTTGGCTTAAACTTGTGAACAGCCTGGCTCGCATGGAGGCATCACTCTCCTCTGGAAGTTTGCATGAGGGTACCATGGTGGACATGGTAGGGACAGTGTCCTCACATCCTGAAAAATAATCACACATAAAATTTTAGTTACTTTCTGTCGGGCAAAAATACATAAACTATTCAGACTTTAACTGTATCTAGCAAGCTATGAGCACTTGGTTTAAAAGAATTCTATTTAACAGAATTCTCTTTAAACTTGAAGATTTTTTATTCACAGCTAAAAACGTGTATATGCTGAACACAGCACTGTTTCGGGGAGGTGGAGGTGGTGCAAACAGGCATTTAGAGAAAGTGAGGGGGGGGGGGGGGGAGAGAGAATATAGTACTAACAGAACACTGTATTGCTGCTGCTGTGCGGATAAAACATTGTATTGTTGCTAGATTTACGGAAAGAATATAGTACTGGCTTCTGTTGTATCGACAGAATCTAGTACTGGCTGCTGGTGTATCTACAGAATATAGTACTGGTGCTGGTGCATCGACAGAATTTAGTACTGGTGCTGGTGTATCAACAGAATATAGTACTGGCTGCTGGTGTATCTACAGAATATAGTACTGGTGCTGGTGCATCGACAGAATTTAGTACTGGTGCTGGTGTATCAACAGAATATAGTACTGGCTGCTGGTGTATCAACAGAATCTAGTACTGGCTGCTGGTGTATCGACAGAATATAGTACTGGCTGCTGGTGTATCTACAGAATATAGTACTGGCTGTTGGTGTACTGACAGAATATAGTACTGGCTGCTGGTGTATCTACAGAATATAGTACTGGCTGCTGGTGTATCTACAGAATCTAGTACTGGCTGCTGGTGTATCTACAGAATATAGTACTGGCTGCTGGTGTATCAACAGAATATAGTACTGGCTGCTGGTGTATCTACAGAATATAGTACTGGCTGCTGGTGTATTGACAGAATATAGTACTGGCTGCTGGTGTATCTACAGAATATAGTACTGGCTGCTGGTGTATCTACAGAATATAGTACTGGCTGCTGGTGTATCTACAGAATATAGCACTGGCTGCTGGTGTATCGACAGAATATAGTACTGGCTGCTGGTGTATCAACAGAATCTAGTACTGGCTGCTGGTGTATCAACAGAATATAGTACTGGCTGCTGGTGTATCAACAGAATATAGTACTGCTGCTGGTGTATCAACAGAATATAGTACTGCTGCTGGTGTATCAACAGAATATAGTACTGGATTCTGGTGTGTGTCTAGCATATAAAATATAATACTGCTGCTGGTGTGTGGGTGAAATATTGTACTGCTGCTGGTGTATCAACAGAATATAGTACTGGCTGCTAATGTGTGGTTAGAACATAGTGCTACTGCTAGTGTATTGACAGAATACAGTAATACTGCTGGTGTGTGCAATAAACATAGTACCGCTAGTGTATTGGTAGAACATTGTTTTATTGCTTGTGTGGATAGAACCACTGCTGGTGGGTGGGTAGAACATTGTGCTACTGCTGGTGTATTGGTAGAACATTGTTCTATTGCTCGTGTGGATAGAACCACTGCTGGTGTGTGGGTAGAACATTGTACTACTTCTGGTGTGTGGATAGAACATAGGAAGAACATAAAAAAGGTGGGTTTTTTTCCTCTTTTATTTCACCCCATTTTGAGGATTCCAAGAATTCCTAGGGAGTTCTGGAGAAAGTTCCATATTTTAGGGGTGTTATCCCATGACTTTTTTTTCCATGTTCACACAATGTACCAAAAAGTGTCTGCACCAGGTCGAATGTCTTCCATTTGAATATACACATAAAAATTGTAATGGCTTGGAATGAACTGGTTTAGGACCCAATGGAGTAGGACGGGGGTTCCAAAAATACTGCAGATGCAAAAATGGATAAAAGCAGTCATCAACTAACAACTTGATGGAACCTGACAGCCAAACCATGGAGAAACATCGCTGCAGCTACGGAGTTTCGTGCAGAAGGCGACACAGGTGGACACTTTCTTATCAGCTGTCAGCGCACTTATGGTTTATAACCAAACTTATGGTTTATAACCGTGTGCAATGACGCTGGTTCACGTCTCCCGACTCTTATCTTTTACCTACCCAAACTAACCAGTCAAAACCTTAATCCCGTGTGGGTTATAGGACCCCCATATGCGGCGGGGTCGGTAGATCCAGTGCCCCCTAACAAACATGTAAAAGACAACCAATTTGAAATTTGATGAAACTGGACGTGTCGCGCCAAAAGAAGCAGACCCTGCAGCTGGTTCTTTTATTCTATTTCACCGAATCACGGGGCCTCCAAAATTTCATGGGAAATTCCCGGGAAAGTCCAATATTGGGGAAAGGGGTGGGGGTTAGTCGATGCTTTCACACCCTAACTCTCATACAGTATTGGACTTTCCCGACAATTCCCGACAATTCCCGACATGAGGTGAAATTTTTTTTTTTTTAAGAGCCTGCACCCCCAGGTGTAAACCTCAACACAACGATCCAACCGTCATCTCAACGGCGAACCCAGAAGTAGAAACCAGTGTTGCCACTTTGGATGTTTTACATCCAAATTTAGATGTTTTTCCTTGCATTCAGATGGCGTTTTTGACATTTACATGGTAGATGTTTTTCTAGATAATTTTCATTTCGAGTGAATTTATCAAATCTAACCTAAGAAACAGGATGAAATTTGACCTCTTAAATGCTATCTTGACAAAAAAAAATTTGCCTGATAAGAGTAGGAAAAGGCTGTTCCACTTATCAGCTGCCTGATTGGGTATTAAAAGAAATTGGAACAGCTAAAGCATACCAGAGTCATTTTGGATCTGAAGCTTTATCTTCATCATCCAAGCTAAGTTTATCCTGTGAATCTTGTAAGGCAGACTTCAGTAAAGATGAGGACATGATTCGACAGGATAAGTCATATCAATTGCTATGTAATTTGTGACTCTTTCCATTTGGAGTTTTTTCTAGATGTTTTGCACGCAAATTTAGATGTTTTTTGAATATTTTTTGACTTCGTTTTGGATGTGTGTTTTTTTTGTCAAAGAAAAGTGGCAAGAAACCTTAAACAGCCTTCACACCAGTGATCACAGAAACAGATATATTACTACACTCTGGTAGAATGGAAAAGGGGGGGGGGGGGGTTATGCAACCCCTTGTTTCCACAGAAAGTCAGTCTGACTTTGAATGTGTTCGCTCTAAAGCCATAAACACCTCTGCTTGCATGTAAACGGATGCAGTGCTGTCAAGGAAAAGATCAGAAAACTGCAACGGCCATATTGTCATGGGATGCGTAACGGTTAACGACACAGAAAATACTGCTACAAAGGTGCGACAATGCAGCAGGTTTCTCGTACAATACGTCGTCGAAACAAGGCTGTTGTGAAAACATGTCGTTCTTGCTGGTGCTAAACACCCCCCCCCCCCCCCCATCAAGCACCCACTTTGCACTTAGTGTGTCAAGGTGATCCCAAGAACAGGTCTGAATCAGAACGTAACATGCAGGGATGTCAAAGATGATTTAAACTAAGCTGAGTGGATCAAGCTAATACAATCACCCATATTACCCATACTTACATAAACAGGGAGCATATTAACCGAGCCAGTCGAGAAGGATAAAAGAGCCAGAGAGGAGGAGAAAAAGAAGAAGAAGACTAACGATCTATATACTAAGTGGACTCTGAAGAGGTATAGCTTCCCCGCATATGCAGCAGGCACCACGATATGCTGTGACAAAAATATGACAAGCATCTATTGTCCCGTACAGTAACTAACTGTCAATCAATACCCTCATGCAAGTTGTGTCCTGTCAGAGTACAGCAGACGCGCTGTGCGTGTTTCACCACCTAACGCGGCTTCATCGCCGCCTGTGCAGAAATGTGCAGCTTTTGTTTAGTTTCGGAAACGCTAAACGTGTTTATGTTGCTTTTCGTGTAGCGTGTAATTGCCTTCGAATGAAGACAGCAGCAAGAACTGTATGTAGTAACACACCACACGTGTCTAGCTCGACCACGTGCTAGTGACACCGGACAGATAAGCAAAATGTAGGTTATTTACAGGCTGGGGCCAGCTAACCTTCAAAATACAGAATAGAGGTGTATGTTCATATTTCACTATCAGACAACAAACACTGATAACGGGCAGTTTTCAGGTTAAAATAACGGGTATTCTAATTGGGTGGCCTTTCTGGCATTACTAAATGCAGCGTCAATAAAGGAGCGACATTACAATACTCCCCCAATTCAGCTTTCAGAAATTCGATAGAGGCCGAACGGGGCTGTTGTAAACAAAGGTTCAAAGCCACACTCGTGTACGCAGTCCTACAGCGTCTCCCACATGCTCGTCCCAGGCATCCAATCAAACCGTCATCTTCCCGTTGCCACGGCAACAGTATACAAGCGCTGGTGAGCGCATATAACAGGGTTTAAGGTTCACGCGTCGACCTAAATCAGACCGGTGGCTTATTCGGCAGTTCAATTATAAAACGCAGTCTAACGGGAAACCTGTTGCTACCGACACGGCGGTCGTTTAGGAATGTTAACTTTCATAGCGCATACGTTTAGGAATGTTAACTTTTGTACCGAATATTAGCTTACCAGCACACTCGTCTAGGAATAACCAAAATATAACTGGTGTGTGTTATCGTTACGTTGCCTGTGGGTTTGAAACACGCATAGAGAGAACATTATAGACAGATAAAATGCATAAACATCTCTGCTTGCATGTTATCAGATGCAGCGCCGCCAAGGAAAATATAAGAAAACTGCAACGGCCATACTGTCATTGGATGCGTAACGGTTAACGACACAGCAAATACAAAGGTGCGACAATGCAGCAGGTTTCACGCATAATACGTCGTCGAAACGAGACTGGGGGTGAAAACCTGTCGTCCTTGCGGGTGCTATATGTGCTTGTAGTCCATGACATGTGGCGCTGTTAATTATGACCAAATCTTTATTATCTCCTGTGCTGCCAACCACTTCTGATATCGATAATGCTACACACCATGACGATCAATTGCCTAACATCATATCTCTCTCTCTCTCTCTCTCTCTCTCTCTC